AACTGAAGTAGTTTAATTCTTTCTACTTTAATTTTATACTAGCTTATTCTGTAGATGTTTGGATCCTCTTTTTTGTTACTAATGGAATATGAAGGATGTAGGGTATTCCTGGGGGATCTAATAGGGGAGGTGAGAAGAAAGGTTTGTATGGTTTCTTACTTCCAGAGTGTTCTCTATTATCAGGACAGTGAAGAGCAGTTTCTTTGGGAATGTTGGTCGGTTGGTTGGTTTAGTTTTCTGATTTTTTGATAATATTTTATTTTTTAGGGTATTTAATTTCAATTGCATTGTTTTCTTTCATTGCTAAGTTTTCAAAGGATATTTCCCCATTGTCTTCTTACCAAAACCAACAACTTCTGAATCATAATTCTTTTGGAATCCTTTCCTCTAAGCTATCCAGCGACCAAAGTTGATGGCATCCACCATGTCTTATATCCACTTTCTTTTCCTTCTTGGGTAGGTTTCAAGTTAAAATTGTGTTTTGTAGTGGTACCTAATTCAGAAACTAACTTTGATGGCTTTAGTTAATTTTCCCAAGTTTATAGTCTCTGTTCTATTATGCTATAGTTGTGAACTCTTGATTTTTTTTTTTTTTCTTATTGAAGGGTTTTGTAAGATGCCTGAAAAGATTCCAGTTTTGGTGGGTACCCTTATCTTCTGTAACTGGGAAGTCAAAATCTGATCACTTTAACATATGTTTTTTTCACATTTAAACTCCAAGTGAAGTACTGAAACTAAATAATTGAAGTAATCCTTGTATTTATATAATATTGTCTCAATGATATAGTATACATTTAAAATATTTAGTTCAGTAGCTCTGAAGTAGATGATGTTTTCCCCATCTTACAGGTGTGATTGCTGAATCTAAGTAGTTATCAGCTCTCATTAACATACCTATTAGTAGTTAATGAAAGCTAAGATGCAAACCCTTGACTTTATATTAAATCTTCTGCTTCATTAAAATGACTGTATTCCATTTGCTTTTTATAATATTCACCAAACATTTATTGACTACCTTGAATTATACTAAACTGTATACCAGGCACTGGTGATTTAGCAGTGAACAAAATAAAAAAAAATTCTTATGTTCAGTTTCTACTTTTATTTTTAGAGATTTATTTGTAATTGACATGTAAAATTCAGTTAGCTTCAGGTGTACAACACAGTAGTTCAATATTTGTATTCAGTATAAATGGTAATATCATTAAGTCTATATCCATTACCTTATATTGTTACAAAAATGTTTTCTTGTGAAGCAATCTTAGCTTTCAAATATATAATACAGTATTATTAATGATGACCATACTATTTATTATATGCTCATGACTTATAACATATTTTAACAGTAATATTCTCCCTTAGTCAGTGTACCAGTTTGTCTCAGTAAAGGTTTTGTAAAAATGATACTGATCACTTAGAGGGCTAAATAATGTGGGTTATTCAACATTATTTGAGATTTTGAAAATGCAACTTAATGTGATTGCTGGTTTCTTACACCCCAGTTTCCTAGTTTGTTGCTTGCTTGCATATAGTAACTTCAAAAGAAGATTACTAATGAAATTGTGTACTCCTGGAATTTCTAAAATAAAATATTATTGGTTTGGTTGTTAAAACTTTATATTGTGTGGTGTCAAGTTTTGAAAAAGAAAGTTCCTCTTCCTGATTTAAGAAGCTTATGAAGCTATTATTTTTATATCACAGCTTTAGGAGGATTTAAATTTTCATGGTAAGCGTTTCTGAGTGCTTTAATTTTTAGTTATTCGCATAATAGGTGATGGATTTTTTAACCTGCTTTTAAATAATAGAATCCCTTTTATATTTCTTTTAGTACTTCATTGAGAAAATATAAAATACTCTCATCATCATGCTAGTCCTCATTGTAGCTTGGTTATTTTGGCAGAGAAATGCTACTTTAACTCCATGAATGAAATAACAAAAGACTATAATCTGTATTCAATCAATTTTTGAACAAAATCCAGTAAGGTGGCTAATTGGCACCCTCTGTTGGTCATTTTATTTACCTACAGCCAGAAATACAAGTAATGAAGTTAAGTTTGTCTTTTATATTTTTATGTATTTTAAATTAGCATTTACAAGTCTCAGCAAAATAGTGCTCTAAACTAGGAGTAAGGTACACTATTATTTAGCTGTGTTTTTGTTTAGATAAATTTGGTTATTTGTTTTTTCCTCAGGCTGGCTCTAATTGTAGCATTTAGAATTGGCATTAACATTGCAGATTGTCAAACAAATTATTTATTAACTGTAGCAAACTATTATCTACACTAGCACATTATTAAACAGATAATGTTTTAACAGTTTTATTGTCAATTTGGATTAATTAAGAAAACATCACATTTTAGTACTCTAAACAGTTTGAAATTATTTGAATTAAAAATAATTCAAGCTTCAGAAAAAAATGAGGCTGAATTACTTCAGTTTATTTTTCCTTTTCAAAAGACATTTAATTTTTCTGAAAGATTTTATGGTTAATTAGATTTACATTTTAATTTGATAATATTTGTATATAATACGTTGTTGACTGGCCCTGAAAATGCCTAACCAAATAGCTTGTAATTATAGAGAAGAAAGCTATACTCTGCCAGGTGGTTGAATAATTTGGAGGGGGAAATTTTTGGTAAATATTCAGCAAGTTTGTTCTTGGTGGTTCTCATATTTCAGATTTTAACTAGCCTGCCAAAGCCCCAGGTTAAATCCAGTTTATTAATACCTAATAGACCCCAACTTTAGCATAATCTACAATCTATTTCATAATACTCAAATTACTCACCATATTGGAATTGCTTTGTGATTTTTTTTCCACGGAAATAAATATTGTAAGAATTTACATTGTATACTGGTCATATAGATGTCTTTTTTTTTTTTTTTTTAAGATTTTATTATGCATACAGAGCTGGGGTACAGGTCAGAGGTGCAGGGGCGGTGAGAGGATTCACCAGAGACAGAACCAGGAGCAGAACAGGCCAACTGAGGAAGTGCACTGTTGAGGGGAGCATAGGATGGGTCAGGAGATATCTGCCTCGCAGTGTGGATCTCCTCCAAGGCGGGGATTGAAACCATGCTGAAGTGGCTTTTAGCTTAGTGCTGTGATTTAATCCGCTGCCCCACCAGGGAAGGCCCATATAGTTGGTCTTTTAAAAAATATTATGTGGGCCCTCCCTGGTGGTGCAGCGGGTTAAAGCACAGCACAAAGAAGCTTAAACCACTTCCGCATGAGTTCGATTCCCTCCTGCCCCGGAGGAGATCCACATGGCGAGGCAGACCTCCCATGACCCGCCCGTTGCTCCCCTCAGGAGTGTACTTCGTCGATCTGCCTGTTCTGTTCCCCACTCTGTCTCTGGTAGATCCTCTCACCCTCCGCATCTCTGGCCTGTACCCCAGTTCTGTACGAATAAATAAATCTTAAAAAAAATTATGTAACATGCCAACTAACTGCATTTATATTCTCTTTTATACCAATTTGAGGAAATTGAATTTTGTGTTTGAAGTGAGCCTCATAAAATGTTATTTTCATCAAAATATGCTAGAATTCAAATGGAGCTTTTTCTCTGTAATGGACTAATAATGAGAAAGCTAGTGTTTTCTAACATAACATAAAGATAAGTTTAAATATCAATTAAAATTGATTCTTTAATATTTATGATTCAACAAAACAGTATTTTGAAATACGTACTTTTTACTGAGTGAGTTTCCTATTTTAATATAAATAGATGTGACTATAAAGTAATTAGTTTTCTGAGAAGTTACATCTTTAACACTACAATTCTTTTTAGTTACATCTGATATACAATTTATAAATATCATATAAATGTCCCACGTAAAGTTAATTTAAGTATATCACTGAATTATTTTAGTTCATTTAAAATATATTTCATCTATAACATTTGTGTGCTCAGTGCATTAAGAGAGTTAAAAAAAGAGTATGCTGATACATTTTGTCTTCAAGTTTGGATGCATGATAATATGTGCAGTTTTTTAACATACTGAAATGGAATGATGAGTGCCACAGTCTTCTTCAAACTTCTTCCATTCAAAAGCTCTTGTAGAACCAGGCAATTTTCAATAAAAAATTGCCATCTTATCACATAGTTTTGAAATAGCTCATTAAATTAATCAGAAGTTAATTAGCTAACCAATTTAGAGGTCCCTCGCCTCCCCAACTCCCTAGAAGTACAAAGGATGCTCTTGGAAGTACTACTCTAGAATAGAAATGGAATTCTAATCTTTAAATACAAGTATTTAGGAAAGAATTTTGGATTCAAAGATGGAATTGATTGACCTAGTAGGAGAGAGAACTATTTTGAAGTTTTTTTTTTTTAAATGGCAATAGTATATTGTAGTATCATATTTTAAATTGTCTTATGCCCCCCAAAATTTCTTAATGGAACTTTTTTCTGTTGTCATGGTAATATTTACCTCTCCAAAATTTATACTTGCTATATGGAGTGATCCGTTCCTTTCCTGCCTTTAGGCTACGTTTGTCTTAATGTGTATAGAATTTCAAGAAAATATAATAATGCTGTTATTACATGTAAGTATATAAGAGACTAATTTTTTATATTGGTCATATCTGTAAGTATAAGATATTCCTGGGCAGCAGATTCATGATTAGGAAGTTGATTAACTTTTTGAGGCAACTATAATTTGTGAAACAGTGACCTAAAGTCATCAGAGATCTGGAAAAAATATTGCATTTCTTGATTTCTTGTTAATGTATGTAAGTGATTACAAAGGCTTTTCATTGTAGGATAAGCAGTATATAATAATCATCAAGGAATATAGAACTTTTATTAGAAAGTCAATATTGTGCTAAAGCATTGACTAAAACATCTCCAAGTTTGCATCTAAAGTAGTTTATAGCAATTGGAGGTCACTATTATTTATGGATATGTATATTTATATTTAAGCATTTGTCAAATATTGTTAAAATAATTGGTCATTCTGAAAGAATTTTGTTTCATTAGGTTTTTTTCTTTTGACAGTGATGTGAGTTATGAAAGTAAAGAACGATCGGCATGTAAAGGAAAGGTTGCCATATCAGGTATGCTATAGATGGATCACTTTTATATTGCTGTTTTAATTCTGTAACACTTAGATTTGGTAAAATTATAAAATTTCCTGTGTCCACATTCTCTTCCTTTATTTTATCTTGTATACTGCTGTCAGAATATTCTCAAACACCATTTTCATCATTATAGTCTATATTTGTGTAGATTTTATGATTTGAGAAAACTTTCATATGTGTAATATGCAGAGTTCTCAGAGTTCTCCTCATTGCAGCTTTTTTTAAAAAAAAAAATAGGTAAGATACTTCTCTTTTTCTACAGAATCAGAGTTTGCATGATTTCCTGCAAGTTGCTGATCTGAACTGCCTCACCATTACTTTTTTGCCCAAGAGTTTCAATAATGATTTTAATGTTAGTATAGGCTTGAAATTCCATGTGGGCTGGATTCATGTTTGTTTTTGTTCACCGTATACCCAGAAGCTAACACAATGATTGCACATATAATTGCTCAATGAATATTGAATGGATAACTGCTCTTTGTTGCCTATAGGATAGACCAAATATTTTCTTCTAGAATTTTCCATTCTGACCCTACTATTTTTCTAGCCATATCTCATGAGCTCTCTGTTTTTGCCAGACAATTTGCTCCCTGTTCTGTCAACACATGCTATGACTCTGACATCTAACTAGCTCTTAAAATAAATTTATTATCTTTAGGATCTTATTCCTCCTTACAGCCCTCCCTGTTACCATTCCAATTAGAAATGATGTTCCTCTTTGGTTAATTCCTAGTATAGTCAAGAAACCTTTTACCACTAGATGGCACTTATGCTGTGTAGTCTCAGTTTCTCCAAAGTGTTTAGGGAACTTAAAGACAATGGCTTGGAGATACAACATAATGAAGTGACTACTTGGCTGACTCATGTATATCTAGCTAGATAATGTACCTTTTACAAATAATACTTCATTAGTACTGTGGGAAACAACAGACCTCTCCATTACTCCTTAAGTAATAACTAGGTTGTTTTATTGGCCAAAAGACTTTTTCTTAAGCTCCAGGGTGTTTGCTGCTTCATTTCGGGCCCTTTTGCAAGGGACTATCTTTTGAGATTATTTTATGGATAAACAAAAACTGTGGCTATTTTGGGTAAACAAAATTTTGGATAAACAAAATTGGAAGGATAAATCTGAATTTTACATGGGACATAATTGTCCTAAATCAGAGGAATTACCCTCAGCAAAAAAATTCTTCAGGAAATAATTTAACTTAATAAAAATCTGTTGTTTTAAGAAGCTATTTTAATTCATATTTCTGTTTTTCCACTTAATAAGACTTCAGTAAAGCATGTTTTTTGCCTCTTTGTATCCTTTCAAAACCAATGTACTTTTATTTAGTCATTGTTCTCTATATGCAATACATTTTGACATGTATAAGTAAAATAGAGATCTTAAAAGAGGATTTTCTAAAAATTTTAGACATATACCCCCATTTTCTGTTTCAGATGTGGTCCCACTTAGTACACAAATGAGATATGTTAAATTGCTGTGGAAGATTCGAATGGCACAATAGAGTTAACATCTGTTGTCATTTCATAATAGCTTGCAACAATTCATGAAATCAGCATTAAATGTTCATTTCGAAGAGTACTTAAGAAAAAGCATTTTAAGTAAAAGAAAAAATTTGTCCTGACCACAAATTCTCAACTGTAGAAATTAAACTTATTTCTGCATGTGTTCTTTCTTTCCAAAAGATAATTTTAAATTAAATTAAGGAACTGAAAGTCTTTGAAAATGAAATACATATGTAATTTCTTTTCATCTTTGCTTAGACTTAATTATATCTTGTCTGTATATTTATAAAAATAAAAACAAAGAAAATTAAAAACTAATTCACTTTAATAAGTCCATTTTCTTTGACATTGGGATGAAAATGTGACTTGTTTTGGTCAAAAATGAATATTTACAAGAAAGTTTCATAATGTTTCTGAGATTACTATGATTGCCAGGAGATCCCTGGATTTTCCATTTCCAGTTTGTCCACTCACTGACCACACACTCAAAAAATAATTGAGGTTCATCCTAATTGCTTGTGTTAAATGTCAAATAATTGCATCATGGTAATTTTCTAAGTTTGTTCTCTGACTTCTAATTCAATGACTGAGGCCAAATCAGTCCACAGAATGCTTCAGTTTAGGCAGCCCTGTAGGACCTAATAACATAAAGCTAGCTGTTGTATTTTAACTCTCATTTTACCATTAAAACTCAATGAAGACATTTAGAAAAGAGACAAATGTAAGAATATTGAATCTGGAAGGAATGTCTATTTGAAGCTGAATTGAGAAGAATAGCTGGTGCATTAAACATCTCTTACTAACTGAAGTTGATGGCAATAGGGGAATAGATGAGAAATAGGTCAGACTTATCCACCTTTTTCTTCTTGAGGAGCTAGGCATGAGAAAGGGTAAGCTGGACTTGTAGGCTACATTAAAAGAGGTCAGGGTCCATATTCCACCCAGGATAGCATAAATAGTTAATGCCACCCTAATAGAACAAGAACAGCTGTGAACAAGAACAGTTGTGAAATGAAATGAGTCAGCAACTGTGGTCAAGCAAGTGGTCTCTTTGGCAGGACATCAGCGAAGTAATAATTATAAAACAATAAAATCAACCCATTAAAATAAAAACAAAATAACATGTTTATTACAGCAATATAATTTAACATAGTTAGAAACTATAGCTAAAATAGTAAGTATGAAAGATGAAATTACTAAAAAGAAATAGACAAACAAAATATTATTTGAAAATAATAGGTCACAGTCATAGAAAATTCTAAGAAAATTTACTGAAACACTACTTGCATTAATAAAGATTTCTGTGGAAGTGGCTGGATTCAATATAAATATACAAAAAATGATAAATGCTCAGAATTAGCAATAACTAGTTAGAAAATATGATGGCAAAAAAAGATTTCTCTTGCAAAAATAAAAAATATCCCCAAGAGTAATCTTAGGAAAAAGCTATCGTGCTACTCTTTGTAAAGTCAGAATACTGTTCCCATATTAATTTGGGTTATAAAACTAATAAATTATTTTAGAGGAAGAATTTTGACAAAATATTTCAAAAATTTACATAAAGAAATGAACATGAAGAAGTTGGTTTTGGGGGGATATATTTCTAATAGTAAAATACAAAGGTTAAATGAATATGCTAGTATGGTATTGGTATTGGTAATTGATAAGTGATTTAACTAAATCTATAAAGGATGTAGGAAAGGTATTTACTCAGAATAATATGTATGATAAATATGGCATCACAAATCATTGAAGCAAATGCCTATTCGATGTCTAAGTGAAGTTAGCACAATTGTTCTTACAAGAAATATTTTTGCCTCACATGCCCCAAATTTTCTATAGATTAATTAATTTTTAAAATAAACTGTAAACCATGTGTATTCAGAGAGAGAGCGAGAGAGAGAGAGAGAGAAGGAGCCATGGATCCAAACAGGTTTACTTAAATGACCAATAATATTTTTCTCATCAATCAAATACAAATTTAAGCAATTATGTCTCGACTAAATTTTAAAAATTGTTGATCAATATAGAGTATTTAGCCCATAGGAAGACCTTAGTATGTATATTTTTTAAATTTAAAACTACTAAGGTAGGAGGTAAGATAGAGATAAAGGAGTAATAGAAGGCTTTTCTAGAAAAAAAATTGGAAGTGGGCATTAAGAACTTTAATACTAGAAATCTAAACAAATAAAAAGGTAGACAAAGAATTACGGGATCTGAAAGTTGAAACACACAGATATTGCCGTAAATGGTTAATGTTCCTAAGTATTATTTGAAAATGGGATAATAAATATGTTTGAAAAATTTGCACATAAACTTCTAAATGTAATAAACAGATGTCTTGAATAGTGGAATTTTCCACTAATAAATTAAAATTGTATTAGTGTTTGAGTTACTTGTAAAAGTTTCACAGCTTTCATATTCATTGAATAATTAAAATTGTCTTTACCTTTGAGATCTCTGCTGTATGTTATACTATAATATGTTATACTATATGTTATACTATATATCATAACACATAAATATGTTATACTATAATATAATATAATGTATCTACATCTACTGAAGGTACAATCTTATCCTCTAACTTACATAGATAACAGGAATGCAGGAACAAAATTATCATTTCAATTCCTAATATTAAAGGTAAAAGAAAGCTGTAGGAAAGTAAGATGGAAAATTTTGTGTCACAGCTTTAAATTAATTTCTGAAATACTTCAGAGTTTGGGTGTGTGAATGAGAAAAATATGTTTAGGTCACTTTTAGAATATGCTTACATTTTGGACTTAAAGAATTGATGCATATTCCTTTCAGTTTTATTTCTTAAAAAAATTGTTACAGTTTGTAATATAAAATTACAACTTCTTTTGTAGACAAGTTAAATCTTAGTTGGAAGAGCCTTGTTTATTTTCTTCATCTGTATAGTTTTGTACTGGATATAAGTTCTAGAATCCTTTCTACTGCTACTACTCTGATTTTAAAATGTGTTTAGTTATAAATAGAAATCCAAAATAGAAATTCAACAGTAGGCTCCCCAAATTCACCTATATTAAAACATAAGTCACAAAATGAAAATGGGGACCTTATTATATACCATAACTAGTAAATTAATTTCTTGAGTAATAAATTAGTAGGATCTTTTTAAGTAACTTATATAAATAAGATTTTCTTATGTAAATTATTTAAACAATGTAGCAGGTTTACATTCCTTATTTAAGCTATTAAGAAAAATGTCACATGTGTTAGAATATTTCAGTAATAAATTTTATTTTGATCAGAATTCATTATGGAATTCAGAGGTTGATTTCACTTTAGGAAATGAAATTTACCAGCATTATCATTTATTACCCCTTTTTCCCCCTCTAGATATTCGAATACCACTAATGTGGAAAGACACTGATCACTTCAGCAATAAAGAAGGTAAATATAAGTATATATATGTACTTACAATTTGTAATTGAAATATTTTAAGGTATAATAAAATTGTGATTACTGGCCAAAAATAATTCACACTGTCAAATGAGGTAATTTGTCAAAACAAGCAAAATCTTGAATTATTTTTTGATTTTTAGTAAAATACAAATTATTTGATACTAATTAAGATAATGCATATCTATTATACTTTTAGTTGTTAGGAACCTCTACAATGTCAGTATGAGGTTATAGGGAAGGAAAATGTGGAACAAAGAAAATGTTTATTTAGAAATAAAGGGAGTGTTTCTTTTGTTTGACCAAAATCTGAGGTGCTTTTCTGTCTTATTTTTATTACTTTAGATTATTTAACAGGATGTACGAGGAAAAGGTTTTAGGCTCATCTGATTTTTGTTCCTTCAACATTTTATGGCTTTATGTAGTCTTCACAAATCCAAGTATTGCTTAGGTCATGGAAATTAACCTCAGCTGACTACTAGATCTTATTTGCAAAGCAGACAATGTGTTTAATCCTTTATCTTTCTTGTCTATTATGAGAGTTCTGTTTCTTACACTTTAAAAACTGAATCACATCTTACATAGTTTTATATGAAAAATTTAAAATCAGGTTAGTGTATTTGTTATTGTTAGAAATAAAATTTACAAAGGAGTACATGTGGGAATTAACTACATTTTTCAGATTACAATAGAGAGTAAGTTTTTCTGAAGTACGCATTTTCTCAATAATGAGACTAAGCCCTTTAACCACCTAATACTTTTTAAAAACATTACCAAATTAAAAGGCCTAGCAGCTATGTTTTTTGTGTTCACATGTCTACTTTTATTGTTTTTTTGTGGTTTCTTCCCTTGCTCTTAGGTTGTGGAAAATGTTTTGCTGTTATTAATGTGCCTACTCTTAACCTCTTTGAGTAGAAAGTGTTTTTTTCTCACATAGACTTGGAAACCAAAATGAAAGAGGTAACACTATATATATAAAATAATAAATTTGTTATTAATTAAAGCTTAAAGAGTTTTCTAGGAATAAAATTTATGAGTTTGGTGGTTTCTTTAGGCTGCTTGAGAGGCCTATATTTTTAGTTTAAATTTCTGATACTCCCTGGTTTAATCATTGTGTTTTAGTTGGATAAAGTATTAGTATATACTGGCAGAAAAATCAATATAAAAATTAAGGATACCATGTTTAATGTGTGAAAGAATATAAGAATCTATTAACAAATATTTGAGTTCTTTTGTTTTCAAGTATATTTTAGATATTTATATATATTTATATATAGGTCACTACATAAAATGTTTTTCTTCTAGGGCCACAGCGCTATGCCATTTTTTGTTTAGTCAAACTGGGAGCTGAAGTTTTTGATACTGACATGGTAATTGTGGATAAAACAATGACAGATATATGTTTTGAAAATGTCACCATTTTGTAAGTGCCTTTTAATCTTCATAGAATGAAAATCTAAAATTTTACATTTTAAAAATTATTGTATCTTTGAATTATTTTTGAAGCATTAAAAGATTTTTAAATACTTTATTGAAAAGAAGTCCACTTCTGCATTTGAAATTTTCCAATAGAAAGCAAAATAGGAATCTTGTAATATTAGTAGTAAATATTTGGCTCATGGGATATAATAACTTGTCTAAATATTTATAGTTTCATTACTAACCTGTGATTATGGTAGGTTCTCATTTTAATAGCATTTGATACAGAGTAAATTGGGACAGAAAGCACATTTTACATTTAAAGTAATAGATTGTTGCATAAATAATAAATAGTATCAGTTTTATATATAATGTAGTCCTAAAATATATTGTAGAGGAAAATCACTTTAACAAAATTTTGGGATTTTCCCCCCCTCTTATAATGCTTTTTTTTCTTGACTGCAAAACAATAAAAAGTTGGGTTACCCTCAAGACCATTTTTATCGTCCATATTCCTTACAAGTTCAATTTATTGTAGTCATAATAGAGAACCAAAAAGGACTTAGGCAGACATAGAAATATTTTTTAACTGGCATAATTTTCTTCTGACCCCTTCAAAAGCTCTGTTTCTTTCAGGATTTCAAAACACTATCATAGCATCTAAATATTGTAATTATACTATAAAAACAATATCTACCTTAACTATTAAAGTAAAATTAATTACCATTTTTAATTATGGAACTTAAGGTAGAGATTGAAGAGTACTAGTTTTACCACTTAAATAGCATTAGAAAGTATCACAAACTATGTTTTCTGGCTTCTGTTTAGTGTCCCTTAAGTATTTCTATAATACAGAAAAATAAATGCATTGTTCTGAATTAACATTAACACAGGTCTCTTGATAAAGCTTTGCTTAACCAAAGTGGATTGTATTTAGTATTCTTCAAAAATTTAGGAACTGTTCAAATTCAAATAATTTGAGTCAGATAAATGAGACTCAAAAAAAATAACTTTTTAGAATCTAAATATATTTATTTCTATTGTCGGCAATTGCTGATAATTTATTTTTCTGTCAGAATCATCCTGGTAATGGGCTCTTTACACATCACTTTGCTCTTGTTTGTTTTTACCACAAATGCAAAAAGCACAGTTTATTTTCAGAAAAGAGAACAATGTGAGTTACTTGGGAAGAAGCATGATTTATAGTTAAAATTCTGTAAATATTTAAAATTGTTCTAAAAATAATTGCTGACAAATGTTCTTAATGTTTAAAAATGTGCTTTTTGTTATGATTGTTTTTAATAAGTATTCAATATTTATGAATCTCTGGCTTTACTCTAAATATTGACATTTGTTAGTCATTACCAAGAATACTGTATGTTTAAAAGTTGCAATATAAAAATATCTGGAAGTTATTCCTTGGATTTATCCAAACTATAGATTGGCCATATAAATCTTTAAAAGTCTTACGTTGCATTTTTAATATCTGAGATTGATGGATCGCCTTGTCTGCAGGCAGCATCTACTACTGATGGGCCTCTTGCAGTTAATAGTATATTTTTTGTTAGTAACATTACCACAATATTTTAGAGTAAAGGTATTCATTGTCTATAAAAAGACAAAGATAATCTTAGCATTTGCTAAAATTACAGAATTTCTGTATATTTGTTTAATTAATGTATTGAATATCTTTTGTCCTGGTTTAGGAGTATGATAGTCACCAAGACAAAACTCTCCTTAAAAGAGTTCATGCCTTAAAGTAAAACTCTGTATATTTTTGTTTGTTTGTTTTCCTTCATATAACCAAGTAGTGAAATGCTCTTTATAGTTATTAGGCATAAAGGGGCTTTTTTTTTTTTTTGTAGGTGAGATATGTTAGCAAGAGATACTTTATGAAAAAGAAATAGAAACTTGAGTTTTAGCAGAAGCCTTTTGTTTATTTTTAAACCTTTTCTTCTTCTTCTTTTTTTTTTTTGGAGGAATAATCATTTTAAGAAACCACACATATACCTTACAAGCAGCTGTATTGAAGCAATGATAAGAAGAAATTATACTGGCTACAAAATGATGATGGCATTTTGGATGGATTTGTGGATGTGTGGGTGGTTGGGTAGGTGGGTAGATGGATAGATGATGGATATATGGATGAGTGGATGGAGAGGTAGATAAATTAAATATACAGACAGACAGACAAAGATTGTCCTGGTTTACAAGCTGATAATCAGATATAGACATTACAATGACTCTCAGTTCACTTAAGTCCAGATACTGACCCATTAATAAACCTATCTCAAACGCTTTTACAAATGTTACAAAATACAAAGACTGTTTGAATTGTACTTTCTTTGAGTAAATTTCTAATGTAATAAATGTCCTTGTTTTTCAGTAATGAAGCAAGTCCAGACTTTGAGATAAAAGTGGAAATATATAGTTGCTGTACAGAAGTCTCTTCTATAACCAACATACCAAAAAAACTAGCTAAGAAACTTAAAACATCTATAAGTAAAGCTACAGGAAAGAAAATAAATTCAATACTTCAAGAAGGAGATAACGAAATATGTTCATCCTTCAGTTCTGCTTTCCCGTGAGTTTTATAATACAGCATTTATAGTGACATAGTATAATTATATATTTGTGACATTTTAAAGTATTGTATGTGGAGAATATGTTTATACTTGAAATAGAAAAGCATCCTGAAGCAGAAACAAAACGTGGTTGTCTGACATTTATCCAGCTGTGAGGTATTCTTAATACCTTCCTTTGAAGGTAGGAAGTTGGGTGGCAGTGTTTTTAAAGGGTTGGGATTCTAATATCTCTCAGATACATGAAATATTTTTCTTGATAAGAGACTATCTACATGTCAAAATATTTGCTGCATATAAGTCTGCTAATTGAATTTCTATTTGTATGTCATTCTTTATTCTTATAGCCTTTAAAAAAATGTTTTATCCCTTTGTAACAAAATCACTTTATCATGATCACAAGATAACGAAATGAAAATACCTAACAAAAAATAGTTATTAATATTATTTGCTTTCCAATCTGTATTGTCTCAGTTCTGATGAAGTCCTCTTATATATTTGTTTGTACCAATCAGGAACCAAGCAAGGTCTACAATGTTGCATTTAAGTGAGTCTTTTAAATTTCTTTTTATCAATAATGACTTAGCATCTACTTCTTTTTCCTTGGCATTATTTATTAACAAAATCAAGTCTTGTGGGGTTTCCCACATTTTGAATTTAATTTACATCTTTGTGGTCTTTTTAAACATTTTTTTATAGCCCCTTATTTTCTTCAACTTGATGGTAAGACCCAGAGGACTGACTAGACCTGTTTTCTTTTTAGGGCAGTATTTCATATTGACTATACTTCTGTCCTGTTAGGAGACCTGTCCCACATGTAGTGATATTAAAGTTGATTTTTGGGTTTAGGTGTTGCCTGCCTAGTGATGGGATGTTCTCTGTCAATCTTTCATCTAATGGTTTTAGCAGTCATTGCTGATTATTCATTATTCTATTAGGGATTATAATTTGGTTATTTTCTAATTTTTTTCCTTTTCTTGATTAAGCATGGATTTCTCTCAAAGAAGAGTTTTTCTTTATGAGCTGTCTGGATATAAATGCAAAAATTATGTTTTAATCTATTGCAGTTGCTATTTTCTTTGAAACCAAATTGTCCCTAATTTGATCATAGGAAACATTTAAGATAACTCCTATATCCTTTTGAATCTCTCAATAGCTTCTTTGCTTTCTAATGTCCTATATTCATCTTGATTTTTTTCTGCCCACACTTGGAATTACTATTTCTTCAAGAAACCCTGATTTCTTCCAGTTATTTTCTTTAAACATTTTGTTTGTTGCGTTACAGTTTTGGGTTTATGTTCTTGTGAAAATTGTTAATTAGTCATATCCCTAGAATGTCTTTATATGTGTAATAGAATTTATTCTTCAGCATGTCAATAATTTCACTACAATTACAAAATGCAAAATATTTTTGGTATAGAACTTAGAAATATCAATCATCAAAATGTAATTAAGTAACTTCATATCAGATATATTGCATGTGAAGTGTGCCTTGGGAGTGTAGCATTGCAACTTTCAGATCTATTTTGATTGAGACCAATTCTAGGAATACATTTTACATTGTGACTGAGTGCATAGCTACATAATAGCTTTCATGAAGCAGTACTTAACCCTTGCTCTTTATAGTATTATCATATTTTAAAAATTCTAGTTATTTTCAGTTTTTAAAAATGGTATTGATGAATTATTAAACTGATTTTATGCTGCATGAATGGATCCCATCCACTGAAAAGAATCATAGGAAAAGTAAGTCTTCTAGTATTAATGCCATTAAAAAAAAAGGGGGGTCCTCCCTGGTGGCGCAGCGGGTTAAAGCACAGCACTAAGAAGTCAAAGCCACTTCCGCATGAGTTCAATCCCCGCCTGCCCCGGAGGTGACCACATG